ATGATTACCAATTTTTTGCGCGAAGCTCGGTCGTTTTTCCGGTAAATGCTCACTTTTGAAAAAATGAAAATTTTCAGTTCACTAAAAAGTGCAAATGTTGCTAGAGCGGTCGTTTATCAAACCCAGTCTGGAACGCACCAGGCGAACCAGTGCGATCATACGTTTTTGCACCAAACTTGAAGTAATTAGGTCAACTGCATGAACGGTTGTTTCTTCAGACCTACCTTGTGCGCTCAATACCGTAAATAATCGTAAATTTTGCATAAAAGGAAATAAACAATTCCTGTTCAGTAGTTGTTTTTTGAAAATGACCCAGTTGTTTAATGAGTAATTTTACCGCCAAAAATTCAAGTGACCGTACGCGAGAACCACGCGTACATGGAGGCTGTATTTGAAACTTTTAAGTTGTATTTGGACGAGGAATATTCTCCTAAAATCTCGGCTTTCCAGCTTTTCCGGTTCCCAAGTTAACTATTTTCACGCCAAAAATTTCCACGGGCCGCACGTGAGAGCCACGCATGACTGGGGGCTAAGTTTGATAATTTTATGCCGTACATGGGCTGGGAACATCCCCTAAAAATCTCAACCTCCCAGCTTTGCTAGTTCCCGAGTTAGCCATTTTTCCACCAAAAAGGTTTCGCGAGGCCGCACGTGAGAACCGCGCATGCGTGGAGGCTGAATTTGATAAATTTAAGTCGTTCATGGCTGGGAACATCCCCTGGTAACTTCGGCCTCCCAGCTTTGTTAATTATCGAGTTAGCCATTTTCTTGCCAAAAAATTTCACGGGGCTGTATGCGGAACTACGCATACCTGGGAGCTGAATTTGAAATCTTTGAGTTACGTGTGGACGGGGAACATAACCCCTCTCCCCTATGTGGCCACACCACGTTCCCATTCCACTCACCCAACAACCCCTTCCCCAGTGCCTCCGGCTCCGCGGTCATCATTTTCACACGGCAGCTCGCTCCCCCACCCGTCCTTCTACCCTTCCTTCTGCTTTCCCCACCCTTCTCCCCATCCGTTCCCACTGTTCCCTCCCTCCTCCCGTCGCCCCCTATTCCCCCGTCCCACCTTTCCTCCCGTTCCCCCTTCTCCCCTCCCCGTGCCTCTCCTTCCCTCCCTGTCCCCCCTCCTGCTCCTCCACTACACATTTGCCAATAAATCGACAACTCATGCACTGTCAAGATTGGACGAGATGGGCCGAGGCGAGCCGTGCTTTAGTAATTGCCCATGAAACAGAAGGATGACTCACGGTTTAGGAAGATGTACCCGAAATTTCAGCCTCCCAGTTTTCCTGGTTGCTAAGATGAAAGTGAGTGACAAAGTTCACTCGCTTCCGAACACACACACGCAGACGACCTCTGCGTTTTTGCTGGCACAACAAAAATGCATTAGAACGCATAAAAATTTGTAATTGCAATGTGTTTTCAACTATTTTCAGGACAAATACTGCATTGTGCATGAGCGTGACAGTGCCCGACGATATTGGGGTTATGTTGTGATTGCGCATCCTGCGGCAGTTCAGCGAAATTTGCATCATTCCGCAGCACATTTTCAGTCCGACGGCGACATATGCAATGAGGCAGCTGCGATTTTTGAAAAAACTGCCAGTAAAGTACTAGTGGTCAGTGGTGCTAATCGCTTCGCTGTTATCGGGTATGTTTTTCTAGCAAATCGTATACTGAAACTGGAACTGTGAAGCATTTTAGATAATGACATTCTTCAATTATTCAGCCGTCCTTCAGAAGAATGGCCTATTCAGTCTTTGCTTAAACTGTACCAGTAAAATACGAAAAATATTGTCGGGGCTCGTGCCACATTACTAAGTAGCTGAGAAAATCACAAGTTGAAAAATGCTGGATTGCACTGATTAGGCTGAAAAAAAAAATGTTCGTAGAAGATTGATGCACTTTCAGCATTCTGTCTCACCCACAGGAGTTTGCCTATGAAATTCTCTAACTTGCAGAAATCTGACAAATGAATGCCAGCATAAGACCGCTATGGCAGATGCAGCACATAATAACGAGACAATGTTCTATACAATGAATTTAGCTCTGCACGATGCTTCTGTCGGATCAAAGAATCCTCTTTTTATCGAATGGCATGGAATGCATGAGAAATCGTAAGTTCATGGTGCCGTTCAAACTAAGCCATTGTCTTATTGTACTTTTAGACAAATCAAAAAATAAAAAAAGTAAGTCAAAAATCGGAAGTTTTGTGAATTTTGAACAATGCAGCGTACGACACAGAAAGCTTGAAATTGGCGCTCAGGATCAAGGCCCAGACCTCATCTTGCTGCATCGCAAGAACTAAAGGAACTATGATTTCGTAAACTATAGATCTGCTTAGTTAGGCAGTGCAGGATTAATGGCAATGCTCGGATTATTCCTGAGTTCTGAGTGCTGGTAAGAACAGGTGATTAATCCTTATGGAGACTCAGAGCACAGTTCGTTATTTTTACAAATTGTTAAGCCTCTTTTTTGCAGCTGTGGATCAATTTCTGTATTCATAAGCGCTGGTTTGAACCATACAGCAGCAACCTATCAGGATCCCTCTTCGCCAGTTAATAGAGTATGTTACAGTAGAAATTTCATTTCGGCTTATCCCCGGATGACCAGTGGTTTTCGAATCCCATGGGTTAGTGCAAGTATTTTTTTTCAAGCTACATCGATTACAGCTAAAAAGAAGTTTCAATGAATTAAGTGGCGGAGCGGCAATACCGGAAGCACAATCCACGTGCCGCTTACTGGGTACAACAAACATTTTCGGGCGTTACGTGAATGGTGTACCAGCAGCAGAAGTTTGCAGTCAACCTGTCAATGGAGCTGTAAGCTATTATGATTGTGTTGCTGAAAAAAATGGCTGTTTTAATGGAAAACACTTAAACCACCAGCTTGTCTGCCTATGCTTTTCAATTTTTCTTTAGAAATCTTGAAAGTCACTTTGTCTGCGTAGCAAAAATGTAAAAAATTGAGTTCGAATGGCAAAATTTATTTAAACTGACACAGAATTTGTCGAAGGGTCGAAACCCACATAAAGCAGATAAAAATTTTAGCCAAAAAACGCTGCATTTAAACAAAACGTTGCAAATTTAGTTGGAAATTGCCAAATTTTGCTAAAAACAAAAATCTTGGTTTAAAAACGCTCAATTTTTATGCGTTTTTTGCAGTTATGCAATGCAAAAACGCATATTGTTGAGGGGTGGGTGTGTGTGTGCGCGCGCGCGCTTGTAATGAGTTTTCATCTCGAGATCCACAAAAGCTACAAGGCTGAAAATTTGGTAACTTTGTCTACACATACATGCGGGCTCGTACTCTGGAAATGGACGCACAGGCCCACGTGGTTCTCACGTAGGGACACGTGAAAGTTTTTTGGCGGGAAAGCGTTTTCGGGAACGGCCCATGCTAGGAGGCTGGAACTTCA